AACCTGGCAGCAATCTTTTGTCACAGTAATTTAGCTGTTTCCTTAGAGCTGCCCGGAATGTTTTCGAGAGGTTAGTTTTCTCATGCTACAAAATAATTTTGTAAATCAGTTTTTACAAAATGATGGATTTCTGCTCGTTCATGACGCCGTTGGCCAGATATACTTCTTTTTGCCGGGGACTCCGGACAGCTGCCGCCACCACCGCCGCCACTACGACTACTACCAATAAATGTTATTTTTATTACCATCAGTATTATTTAGATTATCAATACCCTCTACTGATGCTGTAAATAGTGACAGCACGGCGTGCTTACACATTTTAGACCTTATCGTCTTCCTTATTATCCATTCTTTCTGGTTTCCATTGAAGGTTTTCAAAGCTGGTCTGCAACAATATATTAAGAGACACCAGTATTCTAACACGGTCACCGCGGATCTGTGGCGAGCGTTGGCGGAGGTGAGTGGCCAGCCCGTGAAGGAGATTATGTCGACGTGGACCAAACAGACCGGCTATCCAGTCCTCTCGGTTCGTACCCTTCCTAGCGCAGACGGCCAATCTCTAAGCCTGGGCATTAGTCAGACCCGCTTCCTTGGCGATGGTGGAAAAGAAGGTAACGTCTATCTCTCTCTCTCCGCCACATAACTTGTGACGACAGAAGTCATGGTACACATATAGGTTGCTTCCCCAACTGTTGTAAAATATGTCAGTGGTAAATATTCGGTCATTATAAGGTAAGCTCAAATTAAATTTCACTGGAGGTGGGAACATCTAAACTTCTTCAATATAGAAAAAGGCAATATTCAGAAGTGAGTAAATTATTCATGCTGGTCTCAGGCTGGGGTACAAGAAAACCTTCTGTATATTTCAACAGCATTTATGCATGGCTTTGTGCCCGATGTTGGAGTGCATTTCATGTTGTATAATCCAACCAGGGGACAGGATTGTGGTGCAGTGCCGGTCAATTGTGCACCTAACAGGTGTGTGTAGCACGCACCTAGAGAGAGAGAGAGATGGTGGTAACAAGCTCACGTAGCGCTTGATCCCGCTTCCGGTCTTCTTGACCGGAACTGATCTGACTGCGGATCAGATTTCATCGGTAAATCGGAAGGCGAATTGGCGCAATGGCTGATAGAACAAAATGGAATATGTGCTGGTGCCTCCGTGTTCACAAACCATATTTCAGCGACGAATCTCGGGCCTCTCAGCTTAGATCGTTGTCATAACCGCGTTGCCATCACGGCTCCTCCCTCTTGTATACCTCGGATGCGAAGCTCGTTTGGTATAAATTGTGACGATTACGTAGAAAACCGGGGATATTGGACGAATATGTCATCCGTAGCAGTTC